AAGCGTTTAACTAAGTTATGAGCAAAGTAAAGTGTTGTGTTTCAAAATTGTCACTGTGATGAGTGAGGGATATTCACACTCCCGTTTCTCCCTGCACGTTGCCAAACCAACCTCCCCTTCCTGAGGAATCCGCCGTGGCAGTTTCAGTGTTTCTAGCATTCTCAAAAACACCCTTATAATCCTCACTAATTGGCGTGGCAGTTTCGGTATGGATTATGATCATAAAACGTCGTGGCAGTTTCGGTACAGCCAATTAGAGTATCCCATGTTTATACCCAACAATGGTAAAGAAATTATAAGTCTAAAACCATTAAGCCCATTAATGTTAATTTGTAACTATTTTTAAGCAAGAGTATACGTCTAGTACTGTCAGATCTTAACCTTCTTTTGAATTGATTCCGAATCGTTATATTTTCAGAGTATTGTACCACAGACAATACAACAGGGTGTTTCAAAAAGAATCATCCGATTTTGAAAAATCATAGCTACTCATCTATGAATCCGATTTGATCGAACATTATACTGTTGGAAAGAGGAAATTCTCAGGTTTCACGGAAAATATATAAAAGTCCCATTTTCAAATTTTAACCCCCCCCCCCAACCAAAAATCCAAAATGGTAGACATCTGAAAAAGAAAAAAACAGTTTTTTAAAACGGCTATAGCTAGAACGCGGTAAGAGCTAGCGAAGATTTGAAAGAATTTTCACGGTCAGATATTAAATTTTCTACAAGACACTTTTAGGCGTTTTCCGAAAATCACACCCCTTCACCCCAGAAAAACTCCCTACTTTCAAAAATTTGCATTTGTTTTCAATTTTTTTATTATTTTTCACAACTTTTTTCTACCTTAGTAAATTTGTATTACAAGTTGCACATATGCTGTACATCTAAAGGACTTTATTATTTACTCTTTAATATAAAATTAACCTCATGTCCGTATGATTATTAGTTTTCAAATTGTAAACCTACGAAATCGGATGATTCTTTTTGAAACACCCATAATACTTTCCATTGTGTGTGATTGTACCTTAAAGTGTACGTACATTATCAGTACTTTACTATTTGGTAATAAAGACGGCAAAAAATACTTCACGGATACTGTATATAGTTTTATTTGTTTTTAAGTAAAATAAACATAAGTAATAATAGTCAAAACAAACTACACATACACCACATAATCAAGACATGGATAAAACATAGGTACTCCATTAGTAGATTTTTCATCCTTATGAGCTGAAGACAATATTATTTACACATAATGCGGTGCACTGTAGTGGTCGTGTTTTGTTTACAATTTGTTTCTTGTTATTTTAGTCATTTAAAACCTCGTTTAGCAAAATAAAACGATATTATAATAAATAATAACTCGTCCCTTAGTTTAGTTATATAACCAAACATTAAACAAAAGTCATGAAACTAGCCCTAAAATAATTCAAAGAAAATGTTGTCGACACTAGCGATCAGTTTCACCGGACATGAACTAGGCACGGAAAACGAGCTTACAAATTTACATTGGGACGAGAAGTCTACTTGTGCATACACCCAACAGAAACATACGTTAAAATTGTCAGCTGATTTAAGATGACCAATCTATTGGGAAGTGTGTTTTACTATTTAGGAGAAGGAATGGAGAAATTATCACATTGCTGTTGCTCATATTTTGTGACACAATTTGATCACATCATAGACTCTTCGTCGCTCAACAATTGACTCACAACAATAACCAAGTGATGCGCGGCTTGGCGGCAATTGAAGTGGACACCGGAACTACAATGGCGTCCGCCCCCCACCGGAAGTGGTAATTACTATTTATAGCTGGCGCCTAGAATCAATTATGGCCCGCCTGGAACCTTAGTCCACTTCGGGGCTGTTTTGGACATAATGGACTTACTGGATCCAAAAGTTGGGAAATGGCCAGTCTAGGTCGGGGACATTGACTTGTTATCAGTTATCAGTTCATAGGTCAAGGACGCTTCAGACCGTAATGACCGGATGAGATAAGTGTCTGGCCAAGTTTGACTCAGAATAAATACTATCGTCGCTTATTTCGCAATTCGTTTGATTATTCAAATTGGTACAACAAACGTCGTGAAATCCATAAAACTTGTTTAAATAGAACATTTCCTCATAATTGAAAGTTGTTTTACTCTGTTCCTCATTTGATTTTCATAATTTTAAATCAAATATCACAACGTTTAGATTTTTATTACTACTTAGTATTGACAAAAAGTCCCTTATCGTTTTCCTGTCGATAGTCTATTTTTAACAGATATTTTAAATAATTGTACATTATCTCGAATCAAAGAAATGTGAGTTAGAGGAAGAAAAGGTTTTATTTTGTATCAAGAACAAAACTCTTTATATTCATCATCCAACCAAAACCGATTCTGACTTACAGCTGTAAACAAACATGTGTAACAATCAAATCAGCTGATTACAAAATATCAGTGAACATAGTGGTTCTGTTATGTCTATCAGAGAAACCAATCAACAGAGGTTCCAGAGTGGTTTGTATTCATTGGTTCCAGCGACAACTGTGATAAATTGTCACGAATTACGAGCCTACGAGCTCACAGTCAGCTGGGCCCCACGGCAAGCCTCGTAAAAACTCGTGTTTTTTACCCCAGCAGAGCCCAGCCCTACTGAGTCATCAGCGACCCTCTGCGGATTAGCCTTCTAAACATTCCAGAGTGGATTTTGAAAAATCTATTCTACATCATCCCCGTGTGAGAACGCCCAACAGTTGGACTCGGGGCGTAAAATAATTTTCAAATTCAAAATTTCTTTGTATTTACCAAGCCAATGATGTATATTGGGATCACTATCGAGTAGTTAATATCAGTGGGAGAATTCTAACGGTTCAATAATAATAATATCATTGTTATTCATAATTTAAAATTTTTAATATTTAATTTCTAAATGGCGAATTGGTGGGGTTTAAATATCAAACTCTATTAGGTACGCCTATAACCGAATAGTAAACATTTCACCGTGGATTTTCTATTTTCGTCAACTTTATGATCGTTTTGAACCTTACTTTATGCGGTTAAAAAATGAAAATATGAACAAACAAACACCAAAAGGGCAGAAACCCTGTTATTATTGCAAACGAAACCCAATGCTTGTACAGTATTACAAACACAATGAAATATGCAGAGAAAAAAGGTATTTTTTCCTTTTTAATATGTTAACTTCCAATAAACAATATGTGCAATCATAGAGATGAAATAGTAAGTCCCCCCCCTGCAATAAGGTAATATCATAGATAAAACATACTCCCTTAGTAGATTTCTCATCCTTATGGAACAGCTGAAGACAATTTTATTGTTAGTACATGTACGGTTTATGTAGAGGTCGTGTTTTGTTTACAATTTGTTTCCCGTTATTACAGCCATTTAAAACCTCGTTTAACCAAATAATACGATGTAATCATAAACAATAACTCGTCCCCTAGTTATATAACCAAACAGTAAAGCACAAATCAAGAAATTAACCCTAAAATAATGGAAACAAAGTTTCATCGACACTAGCGTCTTTGTGTCACGTACATGAACTAGACACGAAAAACGTGCTTCAAAATTTACAATGGGATGAGAAGTCTACTTGTATACTTCAATTAATTTTAATTGTTAAGATTGTTTAATGGTGAGGTTTGTAACCAATGCATAAGATAATTATTTATTTCACATAGTACACACATTGTTTACTTTGACAGTTGGCTACACTGCTGATAAAATGTAATCAGCTGAAATGTCAATCAAAAGCACCTGTTTTGATAACAATAGTGACAGATTAGTGCTCATGGCACAAGCCAAACATCTGGATCCTTCGCCGGAGGAATTAAAATGTGTCGCGAGATTTTTGTGGGCAAAAAACCTGAGTATACAAGAAATCGACCGCGAACTAAACCTTGTGTACGGGAAAAACGCGGGAACATTTCGCGATGTGGAAAACTTGTGCCGAGAATTTGGCGGGCAAATAAACTGGTATAGTGGAACGTTCGATCAATATGACATCGAACCGTTTACATCCGAAAAGAGGAAGCCACCTAGATTCCAAGTAAGTGAGTGTGTGTTGGTTAGAAATACAGTTGTAAAAATGCTCGACTAAATTTGAACATAGATAACGGCTTTTGTAGACAGTCCTAAATGGAAAATTCATTTTTACTTGATGTATTTTTTTTATTTACCAAGTAACGGTAAAATGCCATGGTTAAAATATTCTATTCGACCATTGATGAGTATACAAAGTAAATACAAACTTATACAGTAGGGCCTACTCATGTTATGATATGAGACCTGGACAAGACAATATAGTTTTGGACCATTTGAACTATTTTTAATTAATGTTTTTTTTGGACGTATAGTGGTCTTGGAATACTTCGGAATTATTAAATGGACCATAAATAAAATTAAATCAAACATCAGTTAAAAAATTAGTAAACTCAATCAATGGCCACCGCAACTATGAGAACTATCACGCAACCCACCAACATTAAAATAATTTTGTAGCCACAATTACGTCTGTAAATCGTTATGGAACAATATTTTTGGTTTTTTTATCCTCTATTTATGACGGGAATGTAGATCGTTGCTTTTTTTAGTACAGGTATCGATAAACCAGTACATCCTAATTCAGTAAAAATTCAACCAAATCTCACAATTATTTTACACATATAATGTAAATACTGTACAACAATAGTATTTACTTTGTTGTGCACTTTGCAGTAACACAATTAAATTACAAGATTAAACTACTTGTACTTCAACACTAGGACAATATCTCAATGCTACAAAACAACAGACACTTTTTACTCCCCGAAGTTTCGTCTTCAATTCCATCCCCCTTCATATAATTAAACTCCCTCCTGTTTACTCCAATAAAACCGGGCGGCAGTTTAAAACAATAGAGGGACAACAATCATACATTGTTTACCCCTTGACCGTCCCAAGGGGGGGGGGCGGCGCGCGCATTCGGAAATTGGACCCAGCTGTGCGTTGCCGCGTAACTCATTATAATTCCAACGCGCTGTGAGTTAAGTCGTGAGTTAGTGAGCGCAGTCAGTGAGTGAGTGAGATTTTGAGCCGCTAGTGGATATTTTGGATACGTATTCAAGGTATGGAATTCACTATAGTAGATACGTTTAGAGTTTAGGCAGTTGTTCCATACGTTGGAGACTGGCATATGGGAATATTTAGTCGTTAGTGTTAAGTTCTGACTTTAAGGGGGTACAATTTACGTACCGGTATTGCTGAGGTTAAAAATAAGTCATACTTTTTATTTACATATTTCAATGACTTTCACAAACATTTAAATTAATTAACTACGTTTAAATTAATTAACCCACGTAATGTTGCATGTCAAATTGGACATAGAAAATAAGTGAGTCGCCAAAGAACCATTAAGTTAGTTCTCTATTATTTATCTATAACATTTTTAATAGATTTGCAAGTATACTTTTAGTTTGTTATTAAACTTGTTCTCTATCATCACGTAGACGAATAGACCCTGACCCTCCCTCTTTGATCACATTAAAATCCACTTACGACAAAACTGTCACTTAAAAACAAACACGTGAATTGCCACTTGAAAAACGCTTAACCAGTGACCACTCCACTATGGATACTAAAGAATCTCCTTTTAGCTTTGAAAAACCTCCTTTGAAAAAGACTCCTGTGTGGTTATTTTTCACATTAACTTCGCGTAGGGTTTTTTGTGTCATCAAACCCCTTTACTTATACAACGATATGTTAGCACTAAGCGAATCTAAAGTTTTAGTAGGCCTACAGAAAAGAGTAGACATGGTTTTAATGAGTGTCCCTTTAATCGGTGTATCTGCTCTTTAATCGATATAGTGAGTCCGATACTTTAAACTTATCATTATAAATACTGAGAGTAAATAACCTTGGATCGTGCTTGGACAGTGGTGGTTTCAAGGGGGAGGATACAGGGGTTAAATCCCCCCATTGGACCCTGGACAAATTAATTTAAACATACATTTCGTCCTAAAGACTTAACAGATATGGACACAGTTCTAGATGTGAAAAATGGCCTAGGTCACCAATCTGCTTTAGAATTTTTTTGGGGGGTGCCCCGGATCCCCTTTCCTTATTACGGGGAGGATCCATACCCCCCGAACCCCCTGGTAGTGGTAGCCCCCCCCCCCCGTGACAAGGGATAGGAGAATAGGAAAACCACCATAGGAGAATAAGAAAACCACCACTGTATTTGGATATGATAAACAATAAACACGATGTATTTAAATAATAATAGCATTCACACAAACAAGATAACAAACCATAAATATGTATTACAAATGAAGACGCCGATGCACCACACACAACACAGACCCATGAAGCGCGTATGTGTGTGAGGTGGTGTGTGTGTGTAGGCGATCGCGTCACCGTATATGGTGTCACGGTGAGTAACGTAACTACAGCGTGGGTGTTTGGTACTAACTTACATTTTTAATCTCGCTACATTTACATACCATCCCACATTCCACGTGCAGTAACACGAGCTAAATTCGTTATGGCAAATTACATTTCACATTGAACTGTAGGTTTTAGTTTCGTCTTTAATAACCAATTGAGCGGCGAGAGAGCACAGATTGTGAATATTTTTAGCTATAACGGTACTTTAAACATCGATTCACCTATGAATGAATTGATGTATGATGGAAATACCTTTTTGCTAGCGTGTAAAATAGGCTAAATAAAATTTTCTTATCAACCATAACTGTTGTCAAATTATACTAAACGGCCTAACCTACTATACTAAACGTGGTCTTATCCTGCTATTAAATATAGCAACTCAATTGTAACTTTTTTCATGTAATTCACATTTGGTTTAATCATAGAAAACAATATATTGGTACAAAATGTTTGTCATTTGGCAGTCTCCGTTTGGGCCTGAAGATGACAGGCGTGACTGGACAAAACTTATCATTATTGTAACACCTTTTATACTACGGCTTGTAAACATTTTCAGAATAAGTGCACATATTGGAAAAGCTTTGAAGACGAGTTTTATTGCATTCGTCTATTCAATAATCATACACTTTTGAGGCTACGCTACTAAAGCAGTAGCCTATAAAAGTGTTATTGTAAGCTTGCTAATTATAGTCATCTCAAATTGCGCCTGATTCGCGTCTAGCAAATTCAACTGACTTGTATCCATGTGTCGTGTTACCTGCTTGTCTTGTATGTATGTGCATCGATGTTTTTCGCCTTCCAAAGTGACGATTGTATCAGAAAAGCTTGCAATAAATGTTAGGGCAGTACATAGCCTAATGATGACACATTTTGGTACAAACTCTGAACTTAGGTAACCATTTCTGGAATTTTAGACTAATCACCAATTTTATTTTTTTAATCTAAGCAAACAACAATGTCATTTTTAAATTACATAATTTTAAACAGTAAGACATGATTTGCGGTCTTGTGGACACAAACGCACGACGACGTTGCGGCCGCACACCAACGAACACGTTTCTGTGTGCCGCACACAGATATGAAATTCTCGGGACGAGACTTATTTGTGTGCGTCACTAGACGTTTCCGGACTGTTGAGCTTCGTCCTTCAAATGTTGAATGAGAGGCTTAGTCATGTTTTGCAAGGGCCATATAGGATTGCTTAAAAAGTATCTAAAAATTTGTATTATTGGGTTATTATTAAAATTATCTTTATGTAAAAAAAAGTTAAAGTAAAGAAAACACACAGATTAATTTGTTCTAATTTGTAAATGAGTGAAGGTTAGCAATTTTTTCAGTTAAGAGTGAAACTAAACCAACAGACTCTGTTGAACAATTGTTAAACATTTTAATAAATAAATGAAATACCCCCGCCGCAGCAAACCTGCAGACTAAGCGAATTTCCATTTGCCTGATTGGATTTAGACTAAAATGTCTCCTTAAAAATATCACATTTATTCCCTATTTAAATAGAATCAGTTTAACACATACTTAGGTTTGCTGCAACAGGGAGGGTAAAAGTGTTTTTTTATGTAAAATGTTAATAGTTAGTAAGAAATAAAAACATTTTCCAAATTTGGGCAAAATATGTTAATAAACAAGCACACTACAACGGTTTACTTATTCTCCATAAGAATAACATGGGAATTTTAAATTAACAATTTTTTGGAATTTTCTCCGTAACCATTAGGCGCATTATAACGCTTCAATATACTAAATTATTTGTTTTTTTAAGCTCTACAAAATAGTTTGGAAAGAAATTTCAAAATTTTATGTTTTTTGTGTCAAAAATAGGAAAAACCCATTTTTACCCCATAAAAGCCCCCATAAACCCCTGTTCCCATGGTCCGATCATGCTGGTTCGCGAACTCGTTCGAATAAACGTAGGTTTACACGTTTGTAGCAAATTTCATCAAAATCGGATCATTTTTGCTCGAGTTATTGCGCTAACGGACACATATATATATATATATGAATTTGAACGGATGGTGTTTTTGGCCTCTAGGGACCTCAAAACGAAAAAAAAAATCGGTCCCGGGTCCAGGTCTTACCATGAGTACTACGGTAATAGCTTATTCCCTATATGGGACATTCGCTAAAATTACCATAATGTTTTCAACATGTAAGGCAAATAATTTCATAATGATAAAACAAATTCAAGCACAATAAATAAAGAATAATGGCTCATGAATTCCTTACATTTGTAAACATAATAAATTTCTTACATTGTACAGTACAAACTTTGTAAATTTGCTTTCTAATTTGTTCTGTACTGCAATATATTTAGTACAAGTAACTTACTTAAATGCTGTGTATTGGGTATGAAATACAAAAGGTTTAAAATCTTGTTTCTTTAATAATTTATGTTTTTGTACTGTAAAAAATAATAAAATTGATCCATGCAAATAAAACTTAGTGTAAATAAACATTTTGTATACGTATCCTTTGAATATGACAAGTAATGTAGTAGAGGTAATATAAATTACTCAGCACGCTATGCTTTCTTGGCTTACTGTATCAAGTTTCTTGAAGAATAGAGTACATTTAGCTACTCAGCTACCATGCCCTAACCGGTATTGGCTAGTAATCTTCCTGTGTGTTCAGTTTATAGTAGAATTCAATGGTAAGACAGAAAAAAATTAATTGATAGATAAAAAATGTATTTAAAAAAACTTAACTAATTCGTTTAAGTTGAAATCTGAAAGCAAACAGTATTTCTTTCTTATTTTTGGCTCTTGTTCTACAATTAGAATGCTTTTTATTTATGCTGACAGATGGGACACGTGATCATCACTGCGCTCAGTCTAGTTTGGGTTTTACTGACCATCACTTCAACATTGGCAGTCTTCTCTGCGATCCTCACTCCCAAGTGGCTCATGGGTCCGATCCCTCTTGAAGTCGGTGAGTATATCCTTTCAATAGAGCTACTAAGTTTGCCAGCTGATGAAATCATTGCTAACCCAGTATGACCTGAGCAACGTCTAGTGTTAAATTTGTAAGAAACAAAGGTCTCGATATCTACTGATTAATCCAAAAACAGCAAAAATATGCTGTTAGGGGGGTCTACAGGGGCTAAACTCCCCCTCCCATTGTGCCCTGGAAATATAAATTTAATCTTACATTTTGTCATAAAAACGTATCAGAAGTTTTTGAACACAGTTCTAGACGCAAAAAATGGCTCTGAAAATCACCAAAGGACTTTAAAAATAGCCAATTTTCTGGGAGAGGGTGTATGCTGTATATAAGATTATTTCTTGCTAGGAAGACATTTGTCTGTACAAGTACAAACAAATTAACAGAAGAGGAAGAGACATCCGTTTGAAAAGGAGTTGTTAGTAAATACTTTTAGGACTTATTTATACTTAACCATCTGGCGAGGGCTTATCTAAAGATTAATTGGTCAATGCTTTAGCTCTAGAAATACTGGTCACTGAGTGAGAAACGATAATGTGCTTTACTTAATAGTTAAAATGTCATAAGCCCTATCAAAAACAATTATTTGAGTAGTTTGCAAACTTTGTTAAAGTTCTTAATTGATGATGGGTTCTTGTCTTTACAAATTATGCAACTGATGGTTGGTTAATTGGTATTTTTCAAAGAAAACTGGATCAATCAGAAACAGCTTAAGAATGGAATATAATAGCTGGAAATGAAATATTTCTAGTTCTAAGAAATATTATGAATTCTGTTTATATTGTATTTGGATGTGCTTCTAAATGAACTACCAAGTTATTAAAATCATTAAAACTCAAGATTAACAATTATTACGAATTTATAAAATTAAATAGTAAAAGGTCATAGCAAATTATTTTATCAAAGATCTTGTGTCAAAGAAAAATAACTAATTGTGAACTTATAGAGTAAAACAAACCTATATCACGCTGTAGTGAATGCTGAGTGTTTTTTGTCATTAACTGGCTTTCTAGCCTGAATAATCACAATGTTGGCTGTATTACCATCAGTAAATGTTGGACTTACTGTAGCAAAACAAGACATGTAGGCTTTTAGTTACATTAAAATGTAAAAAATTAAATTTTTTAAAGTTTGAGATTTATGTTTTAACAAAAAAAAACTTCTAGTTATCTGTTATTTTTTGTTCCAGAAAATGGCACAATCGTTCCATCCGTTGGTATTTTCAACCGGTGCACTCGTATCAAACATCAAAACAACTGTGCAGTGTTCGCAATGGACGGTTTAGCAACAGACAGTGGGGTGTTTCCTTCTTTGTGGAAGGTAAGGTCTTAAATTTATGTGTTTAAAAATCATTCTCACTCCTTTTGTTGTTTGGATAACAGAGTTTAAAATTCCATCTTATAATGCTTCAATTTTATTGCTTATAGAATGTTAGTTAAAACATTTTGTAAAAAACATGGATAAAACACACTCCTAGTGATTAATATCTACCATAAGCTATCTGTCAATGCTTATTGAGATTGTTTGGAAAGGATCAATCAAAATTATCTTCTTCTTTCTTGTCAGAGCCAATAGAAAAAATGATTGTATGGATTAATCCCTTCAACCAATGCCAATGGGTTCAGGAGTTACTTGCGACTCCAGGCCATACCAACACGAGCGGCCCCTGCCCCTTATACAAAACACCCCGCCCCCCGTCTCCGAAAAATTGTGAAAATCTCCTTCGATTGCTGCAAAATCAAGGATATCTTCCCCGATCACTGGAAAATTACAATATGGTCAATAAGCTGCGACAACCTTCTGCTTGCAGCCTTAGTGATAAATCTGATACTGTCTCTAACCTAAATTACCATATGAAATTTTATGTTAGAATGGAAGTAATGACTTGATCTATGATTATATTATGGTATATATATACAGTATGGTGAGATAACAAAATCCAGGACTGTGGGTGACGATCACGTTATTGCTGAGGCCACAAGATATGATCTAGGGAGACAATATTCCAGAAAAAAATCTGTTGATGAACCAAGAGTGGCCCCTGGATTACTTACTCTGTCAATATCTGACCTAAAACATCTCGGTAGTCTAGAGAGGATCGCCAGAAGAACCCACCCTGTTTACAAGAAACCCAGGGGCGATGGGGCGGTCACAGTTTGGACACTGATTTTGTACAACTAAACATTAATTGTTTTGTCTCAGACAATAATCCAGCCCAAAAATGATCTAGGACAACATACCTCTTTCAGTGAATGACTGTTACATTTGTTATAAATGTGGAATCTCTTGACAACGGAACCTCCAGATATTGGAAGATCTTGGTGTGTTCTCTTTTCTCTTTAGTCATGTGCAAACATGTTGAGGTGGAAGGAGAAAGATGGACTGGAAAAATACTTATTGATGTCTCCAGTGCATCTTGTTGCGCACTATAACTTGTTACGGCGATGACAAGGAAAAAATTCAATCTCTCTTACAAAAACCGCTCATCATACCTTACTTACCTCCCCTGTGTTTTCTCAGCTGTCCCTGGTGTTGTTCGTGCTGGGGCTGGTTGTGATGGTGTTGAGTACAATGGCAGCAATCATCAGTTGTTGTGTCCAGAGCATCAACCGCAAGAGCATTTTCACCATCACCGGCACCGTACAGGCCACCGCAGGTGCTCATCTTGTCTTTATGTGGTTATCTACATTACACCATCAGCATTTTTACATTTTATGAAAGGGAATGGTCCAAATCCTAATCTAAAAACGACCTGTTATCAGAAAGTATCATGTTAAAAAGAGTGTGCTTAATAAATAAATGTGTACCAGTACAATCATAGGAATTGTTATTCAAATACTCTTGCCACTATCAAAACTTAAGCCAACCTTCTGTGAAAGTAGCATTCATTTGGAAGCCCAATGACAAATCAAATAGTTTCTAGGTCCAGTATTGATTTTGCTTGTGATCGCACCAGCGAAGCGACCTTCAGATATTTGTATCTTTGTACTGTTCAGTTAATATCAGATAATTAACCGAGCAAAAAAAAAAAAAAAAAATAAATAAATTTGGTGTAGAATTAAAAAATGTACCACAATACAAATGAACATCTTATTAAAATCCAAATTAATGTAGTGCGAACTGCAAATGAGTATGAAAAAAACTTAACTCTCTTTTCCTCATAAAATTTTTACCAAAATCTGATGCAGACAAATACAAGAAATGGTTTATGTGTAGGACTTTTCTACATCATGGGTCTAGTTCTGTATGCAGCAGGCTGGGGAAGTCCTAGAGTGGTCAAACTATGTGGCCGAGACGCGGGGCCCTTTACAGTAGGAGACTGCACATTTGGTAAGAAATACATTGTTCTTATCTGTCACCTAACAAATTTCATTTTGTTTGAACCTCTTTATCAGTCTGGCAGCCCATTTGTTGGTCTGCTTTACTATCAGGTCCTCAATATATTGAGAATATGCCTTATACTAATTCTGAAGTTCCTTATAATTATACACTTGTGAACAGAATTCTGACATTGTAAAAGAGAAATGGTTGGTATGCTTTGAAAACGGGAAGGGATTGGTGTCGGCCTATCTATGGGAGTGCACTTAACAGTAGCTAGCATCCAACATAGCTTTTATAGTCGAACAACTATAAAAGCTCTTCACTCTAAGCTTGAGTGGGACTGTCTTGCCTCCGTGTCGGAATTGGGTAGGAATGATCTTACGCTTTGCTAGGTGCCTTGAAGGTGTGCCTCAGGCATTGAAGGTAACAAAACCGCAGATAGAAATTTTAAGATAAGAAAAACCTTTTTTACCACAAATGAAGATTTTAACTGACACAACCTGATGATCACCAGGTTGGGCGATGTACACAGGCCTAGTAGGAACCTGCTTGACGTTCCTGACGGCTTGTCTATCAGTCTGTGCGGAGAAAACTACATCCAGCGACAAAGTTAGCCGTAAAGTAGAGAGGGGACAGACTCTTGTGTGCCTGCTTTGAATCAGGTTGGTAAATTAAACTCCAAATAAAATAAATCTTCTTTATTAAATAACTTACAGTTAGTTTTCTTCTTCATCAAGATTTGTGATCAATGATTATGTACATGAACACTATACATAAATTATCACAGGAAGTACACGTTTTGATTAAAACTAACATCTTGAATGTTCATATTTTCATGTTTATAACACTGCTTAAGACTGCAATTTTCTATAAATACACACATAAACACGGCTTATATCCTTGATTAAATACGCTTGACGAAATAAAAAAATCCTGTAAGAACAGAAACAGAGACAATTTTTAATTCATGAGAAATTTTAAATTCTTAATGGTGCAATCCCCAAGCTACAACTATTCTAGACTCCTTGTTCACAATGCACTAATGCAGTACAATACAGTCTATGAGCCATGTATTTAAAATAAGACAGTTTCAGCGACACTAACCCATTTTAAAACCTCAGGTTTCACAAAACCCTCCAAATTGATCTTTTTTCTTACAATTTGTACTATACTACTTTCAAATTAACCAGGATCAAAATTCAAAATGTAAATCAATTAGAAGCCTTTGACTTTAAAATTAATTAGGGGCTCCGGTATTTCCAGGTCTAATAGGGCCAACAATTGGTTCAATGAGGAACAATTGGTGTAATATGGTCCCAATTTTATTGTGACCGCAGAAAACGTTCTCGATTTCACAGATACTGTTGAAGATGTTCATGATGTCACCACGACATGGAGGGATATCTTGTACAATATTGTACATTGTACTATGCCAATATTTTAAATATTTTTGAATCACTATTCACTACTTAGCTAAACAACCCGATTTTAGCTTGAAACCAGAAATCCCCTCCATAAAGTTACAGAAAAAAAGTAAAATGTTTAGTAGGACCTTTACAAGAGTTGTTAGGACTGTGGACACAGCCCTTACAAAAAAAATATAAATAATATTATATTGAATATGATATTTTTAGTAATGATAGTGGGACGACTATCTCCCATTTGAACTGTACTGTACAGTGAACACTGATTTCTGAATATAGTAGTGGAATTAGAGTGTCAAGCAATGGAGTAACTAAAAAAACAGCTGGCGTAATGTAGCTCAACCAGGATTCAACAAATATTTTTCTTAGTTTTGTGTTTTGTCTGGAGCCCCACAACTCGGTTCAAGTGAAATACAATAAATACATCTGCATTACACCAGCTGATGTTATGCTCTATTTGAGTCAAATTGTATCAATGTTGAAGTGGTGGTTTGGGAATCGCTACTTTAGGATTGTAAACAAGGTTTTACATTACTTTATAGGTAGTTAAATGCTAAAAAAAATTTGACAAAACTACTTGCCCTGATCAAAATTTACTAACAAATACCCTTGGACAAAATATTTGTTACATCCGAAAGATATTTCCATCCGCACCACATTTGTGTATAACATTTTTTCACAACAGGGCTGTAGGTAAACATCTAGAGTTTGGCTATAAAACAGCCAAGCTTCACAATAATTAATTATTGACATTATAAGAATCTTTGTAAATGTAGATTTAAGTATAATATATGAAATGCTTAGCACAAATCATCTATAAAATAACACGCGTAAAATATATAATCCAAGATCTCATAATAAATACTCTCTTTGTACTCTTGATAAAGAAACCCTTGATTATAAATGCAATGAGTGATCAAGTAAATCTCTCTACAACGTTTATTATCTGCCTTTACTTCCAAAATACTTGTGATAGATAAACAAACAAAAGACAATTTAATAACTTACCATCTCACCAACAAGTCTGGTACCAGAAAGCGAAGATGGTAAAAATACTAGATATCACTTTCATACCACGTTTTTTTGAAATTATACTACTACAAAAAAAAACTAATATCTCATGTTGTTATATAAATTGACCCACCCTTAAACAATTTAAAATGAAAACAATTCTTTTAGAGTTTTGTCTTTACAAAAATAAATAACTAGCAATTTGTTTACCCTAGATGGGTATCGCACATAAATTTGACGTAGGACGAGTTATTTTTAGCGTCCCACCCCGCACCCCCTCAACCAACGCTACCCTCCTTCCAGCAGTGCTCTCAGCAGTCATTTGCCTAGTGATGCCTGCCTTGGTTGGGTTGTAGTGTGTTTTTTTACGTTCCTTGCCAGTCGGTTTCTTGGAACGCATACATCAAACTTACGTGTCAATACCCTTTGTGTGTAGTAAAATGACCGGCTTGTGTATAGTTAACGGCCGACAGTACGCCAAATCTACGTATTTTTATCCTTAGCGTCACACTGTATGACGATACCTTTCTAGTGTTAAATCTATGGCAGTATGAGAAATGGAAAGTTAATTAGAGAGGTTTTAGTGTAGGCTTACGTTGTAGAGAGTTTGATGAGCAAGACTATATGAAACATTGGAACAAACTTTGTGGCAGCTAATATGTCCATGAAATGATTTTCATTCGCCATCTTTGAGTTCAGGACCCAACCTGTTCCTGTGCTCTGCAAGGGATTTAGGCTTGTTTCTTGCTTTTTAAGATGTAAATTCTTGTAATTTTTCCCCATAAAATTATTAACTGTACGTAAAAATAGACAGTAGTATTTTGGTTTTAGGGAAAAGGAATTTAAGCTGTTTGCTATTGTACGATTTAGGTTAAAATTGCCAAATATATACAATATGTTAGCCTTGCTACATTTCAAGCTGTCTTAGTATTATATTTTAAAATACAAATTTAAGACAAAGATTATAAAACTGCAGAGCTATAGATTTGTTTTCTGCTTTAATGATGGTGGCTGATGGATTGACTTGCAAGTTCCAATGTGTCATATAGTTCATTACATTACATACAGCCATGCATTTCACTGCACGATTGTAAAGTTAATTACTTTGTTTCATCCATGCAAGGAACTTATTGTTTGCAGGAAGATCGTGACTCCGGACCAAAGTGAGACCGAGGCCTGAAGCTAGAGGTTCCAACTCTCTCGTCAAGTCTCTCAAACCCCACTCTTCATTCTGCGATCGCAGGGACCTGTCAAAGCTTACGTTGCTTTCCGGTGTTATTTTGCTGTCCACTGCGAAAGGCCCGTACATAAACAAGTAGCCCCCTGGCTTTAGTATGTAAGAGGCTCCCTTGAACAGACCTGAAAAATTAAATATTATAAAGTACTTTTAATTACTAGAGCCTGAAGTCACTTGCCTCTAGCTCAAGTTACGAGTAAAAGTCAAATGTGATTATCATATATTTATATTGATGTCATACTATACCATTCGCAAAACAAATATTTTGAATATATTGTTTACCTTAGGGTGTCAACTATTTGGGGGGCATTTATTTGACGACCCATGTCCAAGTAATTGTACAGTTTAAGATGAAAACAAACATTTTAAGTCTTAAGTGATTATAAAAATTAGAAACTCTATTTTACAGAGAAGATTGACAAAGCAGAGTAAAATGAAGACGAATCCTACAGTACAATAGCAGTTCAAACAATTTACTGTGATATAGGTGGTTTAGTTTTGTCTTGATCCAACTGACAAAAGACTGAAATACTAAAACACCAATAAAGATGTACTTCAAATGTTGTACTTAACCTTTCCTTTAAATAGTGATTTTATCCTCAAAGTCCCTAGTAACGTAAGAGAATTTTTTTTAATAACATATTTTTGTAAATCACCATCCAACCTATATCCAAATCGAACTTCCTAATGAAACGTTGTGGGGCCAAATATTACGCTTTAATACTATAAGACTTTAAGCTTTGAGTATGATATAGCATAGCAAATTTTAACTTTTTATTGAGTTACAACTTATGCTGTTACTTTCAAATATAAATATATTTCTGAACTGTAGTTTTACGTTTGAGTCCATATTATTGTTGTTTTTTTGTATAATTTCAATAGTATACAATTAAGCTTAATTTTTAAGTTAGCTTGTAAATTACTGTGAGACTTTTTTTGTATATTTGTAATTTTTTAATTTATTTTCACAAATTATAGTAAATAAACGGTGAAAAATCTAAATTATGTTATTTGACCTTATATTTCAAGCAAATAAGGATATTTATGTGTGTTTTTAAATTACACAACACACTTTAAATTTAAATGGTCAATTTACCCTCTAACTTAAGACAAAAATCTTAAATTTAGGGAAATGCCCCGGACATTTCTTTTTGAGGCCGCTGTTCTTTTACTGGAGTGTTAAATAAAAGTAGGCATAAACTTGTACTTAGCCTTGTAATCATTGGTTGTTTTATAGTAAAATCTGGACCGATTTTAGGTCAGGTTTTGTTTGATTGAAACTCGTTGAAACTTTATTGACAATTTTCTATTTTGCACTGAAGTTAAATAAATGTCAGAGGATAGAAATAGATTATCAATACATTACTTTGTTTGACTGAGTTGAACAGTTTTAAAGTTACATCTAAATATACCAAAACCCCTTGTCGGTCAGCGGGACTGTCTAGGAAAACTGGGACAAAGCAACCTTCATCATGACTGAACTTGGCTTAATGTTCTACCTAGACATTCCATTCCCATGGTAAAGTTGTAGCCATTTTTTAAATGAAAATCGTTGTAGTTGATGTGAGCCACCGACACATTGCTCTGATCTAAATTACCGGTGCTAATTTCTGTCGAATACACAAGCTTTTTTACCAAGTTAAACTAATGGAATGACTTATAGCTACTAGCAACAATGAAATGAGCCATAGCAACTATTATGAACCATCAACTACCGTCAGCAACAAAAAAGAAAATATAATTTTAGACTAGCGCATTCTGTGACTGGCTCACACAACTACATTCTTTTTAGTAAAAGATTGGCAACAGCTGGTCCATATAGATGGGATGTCTACTTCTGTATCCAATAGTCAATGGTTCTACTTAAAATGGTTTACAATAACTACATTTAATAGTAATCCTTAGTCGATGTAGGGGCAAATAGTTTCGGTTCTTCTGAACCATTATCAGGTAATCACATCATTAGGTCGTCAACATAGTTCTTCAAAAACCTTATTTCAGCCCGGGCACATTCAATAGTTATTTGTAGCCTATAACTAGTGCCCGAAGTGGCACTTTGCAGCACATGAGAGAAATGTTTATGCACAATCCGCAAGCTAGTGTGGAAAGTTCCTCGAGAGCAGCAAAGGCACTTTGTAACTTTCCAAGTGAAGTGCACTCGAAAAACTTTCCACACTTTTGACTGCGGCTCGAGCGTACAGATAATATTTTTACTAGATACCTAATATAAAGCAAATAAATAAATAATTAATCTTTCAAAGCCTAAACAACACATTTTAGGTTAGGTTAAATCCAAGCGTTGAACGAAAATATAATGTCAACAGGTTAAGTCCTAGTATCAAAATTAAATACCCCCGCCGCAGCAAACCTGCAGACTAAGCAAATTTCCATTTGACTGATTGGATTTACACTGAAATGTCTACTTAAAAATATAACATTTATTCTCTATTTAAATAAAATTAGTTTAACTAGTACTTAGGTTTGCTGTATCAGGGAGGGTAAAACTGTGTTTTTTTTTGTAAAACGTTAATAGTTAGTAAGAAATAAAAACATTTTCCAAATTTGATCAAAATATGTTCATAAACAAGCAAACTACAACAATTTACTTATTCTCCATAAGAATAACATGGGAATTTTAAATTTACAATTTTTTGGAATTTTCTCTGTAACCATTAGGCGCATAATAACGCTTCAGTATACTAAATTATTTGTTTTTTTAAGCTCTACAAAATGGTTTGGAAAGAAATTGCTAAATTTTATGATTTTTGGGTAAAAAATGGGAAAAACCTATTTTTACCCCATAAAACCCCCCGTAAACCCCCGTTCCCATGGTCTGATCATGCTGGATCGCGAACTCGTTCGAATAAACGTAGGTTTACACGTTTGTACCAAATTTCATCAAAATCGGATCATTTTTGCTCGAGTTATCGTGCTAACGGACACATATATATATATATATATATAAATATATAAATATATATATATATATGAATTTGAACGGATGGTGTTTTTGGCCTCTAGGGACCTCAAAATGAAAAAAAAAATCGGTCCCGCGTCTAGGTCTTACCATTAGTACTACGGTAATAGCTTATTCCCTATATGGGAAATTCGCTAAAAGGCTGTAAAAAGGCTGCATCAGCTGATTGTAGCTGTAGTACCTGAAGTGTTGCCAACTTATTTTCAAGCGTACACACACGTATTAAGTGCCTAATCACACTGTTTTGTAGTAATTGGTTGTAATACTCAGTGCCGGATTTAGGGTACTTGCGGCCCTAGGCCAAATTACTTGAGCGGCCCTCCCCCTATGGTGGAAATTCCTTGCGATCGCGGAAGTAATCGTGAATATCTCCTATGCATCAAGGGGACATCATCATTGACACCCGTGATCGTGGATGAAATCATGGACATCTCTCCTAAACTAAGTCAAAGCCATCATAGGTAGGCCTATCCGGGACTGCGACAAAATCTTTAACATCCCCCGCGGGCTGCAACAAAGGGACATCATCCTCGACACTCGCGATCACGGCGAAATCGTCATCATATCCCGTGAGCTGTGACCTGGAGGACATCATCAACGTCACCCGTGGCCGCAGTAAAATCGTGAACATCTCCCGCGGGCCGCAATCACGGGGACATCATCATAAATACTCACGACCGTGGCAAAATCGTAAAAATCTCCCGTGAAGCAGCAATCACGGTGACATCATCATCGACACTTGCGATTGCAGCAAAGTCGTGTTAAAAACATCTCCCGTGGACTGCGATCACGAGGACATCATCATTGTCACCCGCGGCCGTGCCAAAATCGTAAATATCCCGCTCGGGAAGCCATCACGGGGACATCCTCATTGACACCTTTAGCCGCGGCAAAATCGTTAATATCTCCTGCGAGCCGCAATTACGGGGACATCATCATTGACACTCGTGATAGCGGCTAATTCTTGAACGTCTCCCATCGGCCGCAACCGTGGGGACATCATCATCGACACTTGCAACCGCGGCGAAATCGTGAACATCTCCCGCGAGCCGCAATTACAGGGACATCATCATTGACACTTGTGACAACGGCTAATTCTTGAACATCTCCCGCGGGCTTCGATCATGAAGATACATCACAGTCACCCGCGGCCATGGCTAAATCGTGAACATCTCCCTCGGTCCGCTGAGACATCATTATGTTCACCTGTAATCCTGGCAAACTGGTGGTTTAACTTTTGATCTAAAAAATGTTTTTCTCAATCCTCCGCGGCCCCCTTTTGCTTGCGGCCCTAGGCCGCGGCCTAATCGGCCTAGTGGTAAATCCGGCACTGGTAATACTGGAGTGCAGTAAAAAAATGAGGGTGCAAAAGTAAGTAAATGCAGGAATTAGCTACTTTGTGTGCTATAATCAGCACAATGAAGCCTGCTTTGTCAGGTATTATCTGATGCCTTGTAGGCCTGATAAAGGTTTAGAAGAACAGAAACTAGTTGTCACTACAGCAACCAAAGATTACTATATGCAAATATTGTCACAATTTTAAGTATAATGAACAGTAATCCAAAGGCTACACAACCATTTGAAAACAAAATTTCTGTCTCTACGAACCTTCAGTGCAGGCCCAGGGTGATATGTGTATCATGTTGGCATTGTACATATAGTCCACAGAGCTCTGGGAAATCCCACCATCAAGCCAGGTGTCTGGGGAAGTCGTTACGTCGAGACGAGCTGCCTTCTTCATGTTTGAGATTTTTAAATGATTCCTAAAACATTCATTAGGTTGTGGTCATCAAATCATCTGAAAATACAGCTATTTGTGTATTAAGAGCATCATTGCCGCTTGAGAACTGTAGATGCCATACATTAAGAGAGCAGCAATGACGGTTTGTGCTTGTAATACACACAATGTAGTAAACACTGTGCACGGCTCATTCAACGATGTACTTTTTAAATACAAAATTGGCTTCAGCCGGCCCATATGCCTACTTAATATTCCAAATCAATGATACTACGTACCTGAATGCATCAATACTGCTCAGTAGGCCCAAGTCGTACTCAGTGGGCTGGAAGGTGACGTGAGGGAAGTGTGGGGCAAAGTGCGAGATGTGCTGCCCGGTACCGGAGGCTACCTCCAGGAACATCGGGGGTTGACCCCCCACTCCAAACCCACTCTGTAGCGTGATGTATTGCTGCAGACACTGCAGAATGAAAGACTTGTTGCGCTCTGCTGCAGGATATATCACAGCTCCGAGAGGCCTGCACAGTAATTTAGTTCAAATGTAATTTGAAGTCGTCATCCAAGAATAATATGATATTTTTTTGTATTTTTTTATTGATTTATAACATAGAAATAGGCAACAATTAAAATTGACTTGGATAGTGAAAGAATACTTAGCCTAAATCTACATTATTATTCATCATTTCCTGCAGAATTGATTTTTTACAATATAGAAATATGTTTACAGGTATCTTACGAAGTTGCATCTAGTCCATCATCGTGTGTGTTAGGGTCTGCTGCACATTCTTTCAAGTTAATAAATTGTATCCTTGTTTGAGTGTGTTAATTATTGTATTTATGTCTATTGACGATGACATTGTGTTCTGATGATTTTATTGCTTTATTTGAGGCTTAACAATGAAACTGTTGTTTTAAAAACTAAGTAGGCCTAGTTGCCAAGACTAGGATTGATGATGTAGGCCTAAAGAATGTAAATATATTTTTTGATTGTTAGGCCTACATCTATAGTTGTCTTAAGTTAAACAGCAATTTTGTCATAAAATATGAACATTACTTAGTAGGCCTAATTAGTTGTAATAGTAAAGCAAATAATAACCAAACTAGTAAGTACTGGCCTAGTTATAAAATGCCATCTCAAAAGAAAACAATTTAGGCAGACTGACTTCAACAAATCTTCAAAGAATAAAATGCCTTGGGCTTACGCGGTCCAAGTTGCGTGTAAATGAACCCCAATGAATATTTGGAAATATAAATAATTTTTCAAAAGCATATACCTAAGTTACGGTATTGGTTCGAAAACGCAACTGTTATTACATTGAATCGCTTTGGTAATGCGTTCTTCCTCACGATCGATGCACTAAATATTCACGGCACAGCTTTTGTTTATGTAAAGCATAGCGTTTTGTAGCGTTAGGGCCTACTGTTTGCAGAACGGATCATTATTCTGCAGAAAATAAAGTAGTTGACTTTCTACAGAGATACTTTTTGTAAAAAAAAAATGTTAAATTGTTGTGTAACATATTCTGCAATAAAACGTACAGGTTATAATGTAAAAAAGGGCCATTTGACTGAAAAAAAACCAGTCAGGCAGGCTGGGCTTTTTGCAACCCTCCTCGTCTTTCTGCGACAATGTCGTACTGTCGCACGTAGTTCTACTTTGGAGGTGCAGTGGGGCGGGATCGTGTACGAATGGTTTTCCTACTCTGTATTTTACAAAGAACCAAGCAACAACACAACTTATGGGAGTTCATTTCCAATTTCAAATACGGTAGCAAAAAAAAAGTGTTTTTAAACACCAAATAAGTTAGGCTTATGATGGAACAGAATTAACAAACTTGAGGCTTTTAAGCACCAAGAAACTCTGTAGGCCGACTAACTTACTTTAACCTATTTGTTTCTATAATAGTTTTTTGCAAAGAGATAAAACAGTAAGTTTTTCCATGCTTCGATGGCTTAACATTGCATACTTTACCTTTCAGATGTCATGATGAATACAGCTACTTCTTTCTTACTACCAAAGCACCTAAAACACAGAAAATAAGTTAACATGTAGGCCTATTAAGTTAAATATCTAGGTACTAAGAATTATTTAGCGTAAAAGAAACTCATTAAGTTATTGCTAAAGGTCAACTTCACATTTACAGGGTAACTTACCTATGATTTGCATTTAAAACAAAGTAATCACGCTTGTAACACAATTTAAGTGTCAGGCTATCTTAAAACAATTGCAAAAAATTAATCAAAAAAATAGTAAGCTGATCTGCTTTAATAAGTTACCCTAACTTAGTGTCTCAGTATTCGGTGTGGGAGGGAGGGGTGTGTATGGTTCCTGACACATTTCACAAAATCGTAGGCACTATGGGTTTGGACCAACTTACCCTAAAAGTGTTTCTTTACCTATAGCCTACTCTGTAACTTACTCATGAAAAATGCCACCAGGCTTAAGCACGGTTCGCACTAGGCTGCTGGCCAGCAGCTGGTGATCAGCGGCTGGAACCAGCACCAGCAAGCAGCGGATTTTGCACAGAGCACACTAGGTAGCTTGTCAGCCACTGGTGATCAGCGTCCGTGGGACCTCGTTATCGAATACTGTTGATTATTGAGGGTGTGTGAGAAAGAACAGCTGTGAAATTTGGCAACAACTCACTGTAAGCTGCTTCTTTAATGCCCCTACTTTTTTGAAGAGGTCCCACAAGCACGCATAGTTTTGGAAAAAATTTAAGAAATCAATAGGCCTAACCTGCTTCCCCTGCAACCACTTAAGCTCAGTCATTTCTATTTCTATGCTACAAAATTACTACTTTTTTAAATCGCCTAGAGTTCAAAGCTCAGTTCTTGTCGCTATTTCGTCCTTGGGTCCTCATAAACCAAACCAGTACTTAATCTAATGTTGAGGATGTGTGTGAAAGAGAAAGAACATTAGGCCTATTTAAAGACGCTTAACCACAAGAAGAGGCGTTAGGGCTGCAAAAATTAAAAGATGAATTAGAAACATACAAAAATGTTTTACGAATGGCACCACTTCCTGAAATTGCTAGAATTTAGTTAAATAAATATATAATTGAGAAAAAGATTGAAACAGGTGCAAAAATGGACAAGTGGAAAAAGATATATTTTGGTCGCCGCTGGCACACTTCTATAGGTGGTCAGACTACACTGGTGGCTGGTGCCAGCGAGTGCGAGTGGTCACGTGACTTGCTAGTCGCCGCTGCCTCGCTACCTAAAGTTGAACATGTCCGACTTTGCCAGCCGCTGACAAATACTCGCCGGCTTGCGGTGCCAGCTACGAATTCTGTGGTCACATTACGCTGACAGTAGCGGCTTCTTTCAATTCGCCGCTGATGCCAGCCTAGTGTGAGCCGTGCTTTAGGCTTAATAGGCTACAACAAGAAAATAGCTTAGCCTACTGTAGGTACCGGTAGGAAGATATAATTGAATAAGTAACGGATTTGGTTAATGCATAGGCCTATGCCTAGTCCTAAGTTGATTTAATGATTGCAAATGCTATTTCTTAGCTAAACTTAACTGAAACTCTTTTATGTATGATAGGCCCTACGGTACTTAGGATTACATATTTGACTTAAAACACTGCATAAATTTCACGTAATGGGTTTAGGAAGGCAACCTTTATAGGATTATTAAATAGGTGAGGCCAAAGCACCTTATAGACCCTAGCCTAGATAATTTTACGGTGTTTGTTGGTGACTTGTTGATTGGACTTTTCTTGGATTATTGACAACATCTTGTGCTACTGCTACATATAGTCAATGGTTAGACCTATGTAATACGTTATCTTAAGATATCTCTCCATTAAGCGAATTAATTGGTAAAAATCAGAGCTCAGAGCACTTACGAGATGGAACGATCTCAATTTGTTAACAAATAAAATCAATCGTCAACACAATAAACACACGCCACACGGTAACCTCAAATTCTGTTACCAACGACATAACAATGCTGAAAGCTGACGACGGGAGTTGAATGTTGAATTTGAATAGTTGATTTGTGTTTTTTTGTCCTTAGGCAAACAATTCTTTGTTACCATGAAGCTTATTTATTTGTTACCAACGGATTTACACCAATTTTAAAGTTAATTTTTTTGCAATTATAAAGAAGCTCATTACGACTAAGCAGTGACTACTTTTTCCTAACTCTTTTCCTTTTATCCCGTTTTCCAAATTTATTTATCCATTTTTCCTTACTCCTTTTCCCTTTTTCCCAACTCTTTTCCCTTTATCCCTTTTTTCCCAAATTATTTTTCACTTTTTCCCCAACTCTCTTTCCTTTATCCCGCTTTCCAAATTTATTTTTCCCTTTTTCCCAACTCTTTTCCCTCTATCCCATTTTCCCAAATTATTTTTCCCTTTTTCTTTACTCCTTTTCCCCTTTTCCCAAATCTTTTTCAATTATACCATTTTTCCAATTTATTTTCCCCTTTTTCCCAACTCTTTTCCCCTTATCTCGTTTTTCCCCTACTGTTTTCCCTTTATCCCGTTCTCCTAACTCTTTTTCCCTATTTCCCAACTCTTTCCCCTTTAACCCTTTTTCCAAACTCCTTTTCCCTTTTTCCCAACTCTTTTCCCCTTATCCCGTTTTCCAAATTCATTTTTCCCTTTTTTCTTACTCCTTTTCCCTTTTTCCCAACTCTTTTCCTTTCATCCCGTTTTCCAAATTTCTTTTTCCCTTTTCTCCAACTCTTTTCTCTTTATCCCATTTCCCCAAATTATTTTTCCCTTTTTCCTTACTCGTTTCCCCTTTTTCCCAACCATTTTCCCCTTATCCTATTTTCCTAAATTATTTTTCCTTTTTCCCAACTCTTTTCCCTCTCTCCCGTTTTCGTAACTCTTTTCCCTTTTTCCCAACTCGTTTCCCTTTATCCCTTTTTTCCAAATTATTTTTCCCTTTTTCCCAACTCTATTTCTTTTATCCTATTTTCAAAAATTATTTTTCCCTTTTTCCCGTTTTCCTAATATATTTATCCCTTTTTCCTAACTCCTTTCCCCTTTTTCCCATTTCTGTTCCCTTTTCCCATTTTTCCAAATTATTGCGTACAAATTAAAACAAAAAAGCTTAAATTTAGCTTGTTTAAGGGTTAGTTTTAGCTGGTTTTTAGCTTGGTTTAGGCTTGTTCTAAGCTTGTTTTAAGCTTGGTTTTAGCTTGTCTAAAGCTTAGTTTAAGCTTGTTTAAAGCTTGATTTAAGCTTGTTTTAAGCTTGATTTAAGCTTAATGTAAGCTTGATTTAAGCTTGTTTTAAGCTTAATTTAAGCTTGTTTTAAGCTTGTTATAAGCTTGTTTTAGGCTGGGTTTAAGCTTAGTTTTAAGCTTGTTTTAAGGTTGGTTTTAGCTTGTTTTAAGCTCGATTTTTGCTCGGTTTTAGCTTGTTTCAAGCTTGGTCTTGGCTTGTTTTGAGTTTGGTTTTAGCTTGTTTTAAGCTTGGTTTTAGGTAGGATTATGCAAGGTCGTAGCTTTGTTTTAGTTTGGTTTTAGCTTTGGTGTACTATATATTTAAATAATAAAATAAATCTAACAAAATAAAAAATAATGTTTTTTCTAAGTCCATCAAAACACACAAACACAAACAAATAATCTAGCTGATGAACAATACAATCGACATTATCAGTTTACAGACAGTACCCTTGGTTTTAATTTGGTTTTTGCTTGGGTTTAGCATGTTTTAAGCTTGGTCATAGCTTGTTTTGAGCTTGGTTTTAGCTTGTTTTAAGCTTGGTTTTAGGTAAGATTAAGCAAGGTCGTAGCTTGATTTTAGTTTGGTTTTAGCTTTGGTGTACTATATATTTAAATAATAAAATAAATCTAACACAATAGAAAATAATGTTTTTTTTAAGTCCATCAAAACACACAAACACAAACAAATAATCCAGCTGATGAACAATAAAATCGACATTATCAGTTAACTTGGTTCGTTAACTTGGTTTAAGCTAGGATTAAGCTTGGTCGCAGCTTGGTTTAAGCTTGTTCTAAGCTTGTTTAAAGCTTCTTTTATGCTTGGTTTTCAGAAATTAAATGAAAATGGTTTAAGCTCGTTCTAAGCTTGTTCTAAGCTTGTTTTAAGCTTGTTCTAAGCTTGTTTTAAGCTTGTTCTAATTTTTTTAAGCTTAATTTTAAATTGTTTAAAGCCAAATTTAAGCTAGTTTTAAGCTTGGTTTACGCTTGTTAAGCTTGTTTTAAAATTGTTTTACGCTTGGTTTTAGCTGGTTTTAAGGTTGGACTTAGCTTGTTTTAGGCTTGGTTTTAGCTTGGTTTAAGCTTGTTCTAATATTGTTTTAAGGTTGTTCCAAGCTTGTTTTAAAATTGTTTTAAAATTGCTTTAAGCTTGTTTTAAGCTTGGTTTTAGCTTGTTTTAAGCTTGTCTTAAAGTTGTTTTAAGCTCGGTTCTATCTTTGTTTGTTTCTGTTTAAACTTGGTTTTAGCTTGTTTTAAGCTTGGTTTAAGCTTATAAGCTTGTTTTAAGGTTGTTTTACGCTTGGTTAAAGCTGGTTTTAAGCTTGGTCTTAGCTTGTTTTAAGCTTGGTTTAAGATTGTTTTAAGATTGTATTTAGCTTGTTTTGAGCTTGGTTTTAGCTTGTTTTAAGCTTGGTTTTAGGTAGGATTAAGCTAGGTCGTAGCTTGGTTTTAGCTTTGGTGTACTATATATTTAAATGATAAAAAAATCTAACACAATAGAAAATAGTGTATTTTCTAAGTCCATCAAAACAAAAAAAACAAACAAATAATCCAGCTGATGAACAATAAAATCTACATTATCAGTTTACAGACAGTACACTTGGTTTTAACTTGGTTTTTGATTTGTTTTAGTTTGGATTTAGAAAAAACGTTAAGTCTTTGTTATAGTTTGGTTTTAGCTTTTTTTTAGCTTGGTATTATATTGTGTTAAACTTGGCCTCACTTTGTCTTAAGCTTGTTTTAGCTTGTTTAAAGCTTGGTTTAAGCTTGTTTTAAGCTTAATTTAAGGTTGTTTAAAGCTTGTTTTAAGCCTGGTATAAGCTTTTTTAAGCTTGTTCTAAACTTGTTTAAGCTTGGTTTAAGCTTGTTTTAAGCTTGGTTTTAGCTTGTTTTAAGCTTGGTTTTTGCTTGGTTTTAACTTGGTTTTCGCTTGGTTTTAGTTTTGATATAGAAAAAACGTTAAGTTATGTTATAGTTTGGTTTTAGCCTTTTTTCTCCAACTTGGTATTATACAGGGTGATTGATATAAGTGTGCCAGCCGTTTTATTCGAAAACTATAAGAGATACCAAAAAAAGTTAAAGGGTAAGTGCCTTGGATTTTTTATTAAAAAAATTATAGTCAAGTCAAAAAAATTATTTTAGCCGCCATTTTTTCCAATATGGCTGCCAACTTTGATTTTTCTTATGGAACACCCTGTATTTTATGATGTATTCTGGTATAAAAAGTAATTTTAAGACGATTTTATTCTTGTAAATTTTTTCATAAACCTAACCGTTTCAAAGATAATAATGGTTTAAGTTGTGAAATTTTAAATGGTTTTCGAACAAAACAGCTGGCATGCTTGCTTAGGCCTTTACCGAAACTCTTTCTCATGCAGAAATTTCAAAACTTTAACCATTATTATCTTTGAAACGGTTAGGTTTATGAAAAAATTTACAAGAATAAAATCGTCTTAAAATTACTTTTTCTACCAGAATACATCATTAAATACAGGGTGTTTCGTATGAAAAATCAAAGTTGGCGGCCATATTGGAAAAATGGCGGCTAAAATAATTTTTTTGACTTGACTAAAATTTTTTTAATAAAAAATCCAAGGCACTTACTATTTAACTTTTTTTGATATCTCTAATAGTTTTCGAATAAAACGGCTGGCACACTTATATCAATCACCCTGTATTGTTTAAAGCTTAGCTTTACTTTGTTTAAACTTGTTTTCAGCTAGGTTTTAGCTTGTTATAAACTTGTTTTTAGCTAGGATTAAGCTTGGTCGTAGCTTAGTTTAAGCTTGTTTAAAGCTTGTTTTAAGCTTGTTCTAAGCTTGTTTAAAGCTTGTTCTAAGCTTGTTTTAAGCTTGTTTTTAGCTTGGTTTTAGCTTGTTTTAAGCTTGGCTTAGCTTAGTTTAAGCTTGTCCAATGTTTGTTTAATCCAATGTGTTTGTTTAAGCTTGTTGTTGGTTTGTTTTAAGCTTGGTCTTAGCTTGTTTTGAGCTTAGTTTTAGCTTGTTTTAAACTTTGTTTTAGCTAGGATTAAGCTTGGTCGTAACTTGGTTTAAGCTTGTTCTAAGCCTAATTTTAGCTCGTTTTAAGCTTGGTTTCAGCTTGTTTTAAGCTTGGTTTTAGCTTGGTTTAAGCTTGTTAAGCTTGTTTTAAAATTGTTTTACGCTTGATTTTAGCTGGTTTTAAGGTTCGTCTTAGCTTGTTTAAAGCTTGGTTTAAACTTGTTTTTAGCTTGGTTTTAGCTTGTTTTAAGCTTGTTCTAAGCTTGTTTTAAGCTTGTTCTAAGCTTGTTTTAAGCTTGTTTTAAGCTTGGTTTTAGCTGGTTTTAAGTTTGGTATTAGCTGGTTTTAAGCTTGGTTTTAGCTTTTTAAGCATGGTTTTAGGTAGGATTAAGCAAGGTCGTAGCTTGGTTTTAGTTTGGTTTTAGCTTTGGTGTACTATATATTTAAATAATAAAATAAAAATAACACAATAAAAAATAATGTTTTTTCTAAGTCCATCAAAACACACAAACACAAACAAATAATCCAGCTGATGAACAATAAAATCTACATTATCAGTTTACAGACAGTACACTTGGTTTTAACTTGGTTTTTGCTTGGTTTAAGTTTGGATATAGAAAAAACGTTTAGTTTTGTTATAGTTTGGTTTTAGCTTTTTTTTCTAGCTTGGTGTTATATTGTTTTAAGCTTGGCTTTCATTTTTTTTTAAGGTTGGTTTTAGCTTGTTTAAAGTTTGGTTTAAACTTTTTTTCAGCTTGGTTTTA